TGGAAATATATGTCAATGGCCACAGTTGCAAACCACCACTGTAAAATGGCGATTTATCCATTTTCCTTTTTGTAGAACAGGATTGAAATAAAATTACTGTGATTTTAACAATATCAAAGTTAGGTAGGTTATTTAATGGTTGCAGGAGGCTGATTCATTAGCCTTCAAATCATTCTCCCTATTACATCTCAAAAACAGGTTTCTCTGGAATTTGAACTGCCATTTTATAGCTGTGGTTGCAAATTGATGTGACACAATCAGGGAAAATAAGCAGTGGCATTGGTTAATCCTGAAACAAGGCTGCAGCCCAGAGTAAGTAGGTAAAAGCGCCCTGTCACAGCTAGTGCCCGACTACAATTGAGTTGTGTTCCGAAAACTTGTTTTTAAGTCTGTTATTTGGAATGCTGACTTCTCTTATTTCTAATCTAGAAGTTATGTTACATACAATTGCAATATTAATAATTTACAGAACCTAACTAACTGCCTGACAAAAAAAATTTTGGAGTTGAACCTTGGAATGTTCTTTGGGAGAACCAGAGAGCTTCCTTCCCCTGGCACCTGCCACCACCTTCTGCCAGGCAGTCAGGGTGAGTGGCCCTGGTGCTGGAGCCCTTTTGGGGACCCTCTTCAGCCATGAGGTTACAGAAGAAGCATGGCCTTTGGTGTTCAAATGGCTACATTGCCACTTCTGGCTACATTAACCTGAGTAGGTTACTTAACCTCTCTGAGCTGCATGCCTTGCAGAATTGTGCATAGAATTTGAGACAGTGAATGTTAAAGGCCTTGGAGGTAAAAATTAAATAATTAGTGGGTAAAGTTAGCAACGATACATATATGAATGTCTAAATAACAAAGCAGGGTATAAAAGATGTAAAAGTGTGTCATCAAAATTCATGTAAATCCATGCTCTGCAAGGTAGCTTTATTGTAGCCAATGGTTACTTTGGAAAAAAATATACAAAAGAAATTGCTCAACATACAAGATATAGAGACTATGTAGGACTTTGAAAGTGAGGATGTATCCTATTAATAGTCCCCGTTTTTATTTCTGAGCAAAGTGTAAAAAGTGCCACAGGCTCTGGTATCAGACAGTCAGGTGCTCATCTTGACTTTGCAGCTTCCCAGCAGGCTGACCAGGCAATTGCCTAACCCTCGTAACCATCAGCTTCCTCAATGGTAGAATGTGGTTACTTGTAATTAATGTGCCTTACATCACAAAATGAAGGAGATGAGATAAGCTCTGAGCAGTCCATGATTTAGTTTAATAGTGACACTAAATGTTAGTGTTAGTTTAGTTATTTGCCCCAAACTCTTACATTCTGACCTCCCCCCACAGTAGACTCTTCCCCTTTGAGGGGAGTGGCTCAGCCCCTCAATCAGGAACTGATTGCCATTGCATTGCTCCTGACCTTCCCTTTCACAAAATTGTCCAGCCTCCCAGAAAAAAGGGAGTCAAGGACAAATACAAGGAAGACATAGGCTCTTGTAGATGAGCATGCCTTTCTACAGGCTGCTTTTAAAAGGGAGACAGGACTTTTTTTTCTCCTCTAAGAAATTAACTCAGTATAGTAGTTCTTCACCTGGATTACCTATTAGAGTCTCTTGGAGATTTAAAAAAATACAAAATGCCTGCATCCCACCCCAGAGATGTTGATTTAGTGTAGCCTGGGCATCCAGAGATTTAAATTTGCCAGAAAAGAAAAAAAAAACAACTTAAAAATGCAGTTATAATAATTAAAATGTATTAGGCGCTTAAAGTTTTGCCACATGATTCAAATCTAAGTTTGAGCCCCACTGATATAGCGGGAGGCTGGGAACACTCTCAGAAAGGAGCTGAGTGGGCAGCCATGTAGTGAGGGCATGGGGAACTTGATGCCTGCCACCTTCAACCCCAGCGTCTCCTGCATCCCCGCTACTCTTCTGTCATAACACTTGGCGAACTTCATAGTGCCTGCTGGTTGCAGGATTCATTATCTGTCTTCCCTGCCAGCCTCCAAGCCACACGGAGTGCCCAAAGTAGGTGTTCAGGAAATATATGGATGAATGAATGAATAGTATAATAGGGTGTAGGCATTTTACAGAGCACATGCCAGGGTCCTACCCCAGTTACTGACTGGTGGTCTCCCAGGATTGTCCTGGGCAGGTATATTTTCCCTCTTCACAGGAAATTCTAGAGAACACACCTGCTTAAGAACACCTTGGTTAGAGAAGCAATTATTAGGAGGGAGAAAGTAGTGGAAACAACAAATTAACTGCCCGAGGAAAGGGATTTACTTTTGTTCTTTAAATTTTCTGAACTTTTCTATCTTTTTCGTAGCTGAGAGTTGGGAAAGTTGGTACTTTGAATGTAGTTGAAGTAATACGCACATGTCAGGGCCCTTCCAGGCCTGCTCCCTGCAGGTGACTCTTCACCGTGTAACAGTGTTTATCTGAGGCCTGCCTGCCATCTAAGGACCCCTTGATAAGCTGGAGGAAAAAGGCTGTACCCATTTAAATTTTTATGTGAAAATTAATCACTCAATAACTATTATTTTTTAAAATAAAACTTTTTTTCCTATGTTTGAAATTGATTTTCATTTAATTTACTTTTGTTTATAAGCAGTCCTCTGTCCTGTTTCCCGAGACTGGAGATTGGTATATGTTGATGGCAGTGCACTAGGCCATTTCTTTCCCCTGAACTGCAAACCTGTCACTGCTCAGCCTCAAAATATGCTCCCTTTTCCCCCCCACACTCCTGCCAGGCTGACCACTGCCCTGTCCCCACATGTGTCCTTCCTCCTGTGCCTTCTATCACACCATTTCCTCTGTTAGAATCACCCTCCCACTCTATTCTTGGAAGTTCATTTCAAATGCTACTTTCTTCCTCTTTTTCAAATATCTCTGATGAAATCTCTCTGCCTCTTCTTTAAAATATATTTTTTATTTCAGAAAGGAAGGGAGAGAGAGATAGAAACATCAATGATGAAAGAGAATCATTGATTGACTGCCTCCTGCATGTCCCCTACTGGGGATGGAGCCTGCAACCTGGGCATGTGTCCTTGACTGGGAATCAAACCATGACCTCCTGGTTCATAGGTTGATGCTCAACCACTGAGCCACACTGGCCAGGCTGTCTCTCCTTTAAAGCTGCCTCTGCCCTAGTATTCTGACATCAAGTGCCATCATGCCCCATTTTAGACTACCTGATTTTATTTCTGTATTACTAGGCAACCAAAAGAATATGGGATAGGGATAATAATAAAGAAAAGAAATTTGGAATGGGGAATCAAAACATAGAGCAAAGTGCAGAGGGAAAGTAGAGGGTTTTTTAATAACAGAGATGAGCACTGAAGGGAAGGGAAGCCTGTTTGAGACAGTGCCCTAGGGCTGGCTCCTGGGTTCCTGGAGAGAGGCAGACAGCAGCACCCAGTCATGAAAACGCACCGGCTTGGACATTGACAGAGTTGGGTGGGGGAGGGGGGGTCCTCTGATGGTGCATAACATCCTCAGTGTACAAAATTACTTCTACAAGCAAGGAAGGGAGCCCCTTAAAAATCTTGAGGGCACAAGGAGTAAGAAAGGTACACATTATCACTGTCGTGAGCTGTGCAAATGCCAGTCATCTTGTCTGGGGAGCTTCTGCATTCCTGGGTGGTGAACACAGGAAATGCACAAACCTTTGCTCCAACTGTGTACCTCAAGTTCTTCCCTCAGTCATGACCTACCCCTCCCTGAGGGTTTGCTGGTGAATCTCTGTGTCTTCATCTTTTCTCCTAATAGACTGTGAGCAAAGCAAATGTGTCAGTAAACAAACATTTGAAATAAATATTAGTACAACATTATTTGCTTTTATCTTGATCCTAGAGTCATCTTGACAATAACAATAAATTAGAGGAATAGGACATCAATAATAAGTAACTTGGCAATGTTGGTATGATACCGCCACTGCTTAGTGCCTTTATTATTGCTCTCCCATAATATTTCTGTAGATAATGAGCTCATAGTCATGTCAGGCCTTATTACCAATCATATTTTTCCAGAAATTACGTGTTGTTGAAGACTTGATGTACCTGTGTTCAGCACATTTGTTCCAGCATCTGTCCTGACATGCCATAATGTCCCTTCCTCAAGTCACCCAGCCTTGTGGGAAATTGGGGGAGGCTGCTAGAACCTGATGCGGGGGCCTATATCCCGGCGTAGGTGTCCCAGAACTTCTGGACAAACAGCAGAGGAGAGGAATCAGAACAGAACACCGGGTATGGCACGCGCATCATACAGTCAGAGCAGACCCTGGCAGTAGCCCTGGCCCGAGACCCTCTCCGCGCCAAGCATGTGCAGTGAGATGCTGCATCATGGGAGGTCTTGGGCCAAGGAGGGTCAGCGGCAGGGGGAGGGCTCTTGGGATGAGAGCTTATGGACCCAGCTATTTAACTATCAACACAGAAGTATTTCAACATCTTAAAAACTAGTTTGGCCATATCAGTGCAGACAAGCATTCTTAACTAGAACCCTTCTGTAGTTGGCTAAAGAATGTGAGAAGTCGTATGCCTAAGGACAGCCTTGAGATCCAGGCCTTCCCTGTGGGCCCTGGAGATCAGTCTCATCCTTGGGAATGCTGCCAGGGCAGCTGCAGGTCCAGGCTGCTCCTCTGGACCCACTAAGGTTCAGGAGGTGGTCTGTGCTGCGCAGATGCTCATCATGTTCCAGTGTGGAGCTCCCCCATCAGCCTGCACGTTGGCACTACTGGCTCCCAGCTCCCTGGACTTGTGCCCATGGGCCTGTCTGGTCACTGATTTGAGCAAGCCTCTCAGTACTTTTGTAGGGTAAGCCCCAAGCTGGATTTTCAAACATGAAGACCCAGCCCAGATCTGCAGTCTAGTGAGGAAGATACAAACTCATGTCATTTTTCATGTGTGGAAAACAGAAGCACAAATCAGAGAACTCAGAGGCCTGGAAAGGGCACTGGAGCTGACTCGTGTATGAAAGGGCAGTTTTGTCATATTACACTGGCTCTGCCAACTAATACTCTTCCTTTCGGGATGGGGTTTTTCTATTCTAGCACCTCAGTAACCTCCACCAAAGTGGCTGTGAACGGTGTCCACCTGCATTACCAGCGGACCGGAGAGGGCGAGCATGCCGTCCTGCTGCTTCCTGGAATGTTGGGTCTGCAAGGTTTTCATGGACTGCTCTAGCATGCGGTGTGATCCACGAGGCTTTCCCAAGAGTAGTGGCCAAATGCTGATTACTACTTTTAGTGCTTTGCAGAAATGCTTTAAGTAATATTTGCTACAATAAATGTTAGGTGATCTAGAAAGATAACTTTCTGTTATATGTATTTTTTTATTCCTTTATATACCTGTTTTTTCCCATGCAAGTACACTGTGTAGTTGGTTGCCTACACTTTGGGAGGATGGCAGGGTCAAGGAAAGGGATATGGGAAGAAGGGATAGACAAAGAAAGCAGATGAGTGAGTGACCAGCCATCCCAGATTGCCTGGAATTCTGGGATTTCCATTTGGGAGACTTTCCGTGCTGAAAGATGGATTGATGGCCCTTTGTGGTTGACTATGTGTTCAGTGAAAATAAGAGCTAAGAACAAAACAGAGCTTACAGATGTTTTGAAAATCAGAATTAGATCAATATGAATGGACTATTGTAAAGCCAGCTGAATCTCAATCTCATTTTACAGATGAGTGGTTTCAGTGTAGCAAGTTCAGGGGGAGATTTTCTAGTGATCTCAGGACATCTAAAATTTAGTTTTAAGTGTCTTAATATTGGGTTGTTTTGTTTAGTTAAATAATCCCAATTTATGCTTATTTTTTTTATAATTTGCTTCTTTCTCCTAAAGTATTTCAGTTGATGGTTCCACCTGACTGAACTTGAGCTGAATGTGGTACTGTAGCTATGGGGCATCCTTGTCTAGATAGCATTTAGCATATGTTTTTCCTTAAGCTATTGTAATGAAGAAGGACATTTACTCCAATGGCTGATGTCGAGCCAAAGCAATCTGTAAAAGCAATAAATAATTTATCAGCTTAGATTTTCATTATTTCAGTATTGCAATCATTATCCAGTTATAAAAACTTTGTTTATGTAAAACATTAACCTGATTCAAAAATCAGACACATAGTGAGATTATTATCTCCAAATCCCCTGTCCCCAGCACCCAGTTCCCCTCTCCACAGGCAGCCGGGCTGTTTTGTAATTTTTTAATGAAATAAACTAAATTGGTTGTTTCTTCCACACCCCGCCCTCCCCCATCATTTCTGTGTTTAATTTTCTGATTTCTAGTTATAACCCAAAAATATCTACAGAGCTATTCACATTTGCTTAGTAAAACAACATCTGGGATTTTAGAATTCTACTTTAAAATAACTTGGATCAAATCTCATAAATTTGTCTACAGATATTATAATCTCTCTCACTTGTAATAGTCATTTTTAAAAAAAGAAAAGAAAAAATAACCCAGAAGCATATCATATCAGTAAGTCTATTTCTGTGCAGTTTCATGATTTATTTTTTAAAGGAAGATTAAGCTGAAGAGGTATCAAAAGTGCAGGATTTCAATAACACAGGACCAAAGAATCAGGGCCTCTGTCTTTCTCAAAGTAGCCACCAGGGGGAGATAAGAGGCAGCTCTGAGCTCCGTAGGGAAAGGAAGCCAACCTCCCAGTAAATGGATTCTCATTGCAAGTAAGGCTCCTTGGCTGATTATATTCTGATGTCTAACTTTGAGTAGAAATGAGTTACTTTGATTTAAGATTGTAATTATTTATTTTTTTACAATAATGTGTTTGAAACAGTAAAATCATTCATCTGAATTAACCAAGTGGCTATTTTTAGGAAGTGGAGAGACTGATTTTGGACCTCAGATTAAAAACCTAAATAAGAAGCTCTTCACAGTGGTCGCTTGGGATCCTCGAGGATATGGACATTCCAGACCCCCAGATCGAGATTTCCCAGGGGACTTTTTTGAAAGGGATGCAAAAGACGCTGTTGATTTGATGAAGGTGGGTCTCTTAGGGAAGAGCCCAGGGGAGGGAGAATGGCTGGACCTGTCATTTATTTTGTTTTTGTTTTTTATTTCTATAAGGTTAATACTGTGTGGTTCCTATAGAAAAATTTTAAATGTTCAAATAGGTATAAAGAAGAAAGTAGAAATATCCCACAATCCAACTATGTAGAGCTACCGCTACTAAGCCTTTGAGGCTTTGCCTTTTTGGCTAATCTTATCTATATATATAAAAGCCTAAGCGACCGGCTGACCAGCCAGTAGCTATGATGCGCACTGGCCACCAGGAAGCAGATGCTAACACAGGAGTGGAAACCACAGGCATGGAAACATGGAACAGACTGATGAATCTCAGAGGGAAGAGGGGAGGTGGGGGGAGCAGGAAGAGATTAACCAAAGATCTTATATGCATATCCCTCAGCCTGGCCTGCGGGGATTGGGCTGAAACTGGCTCTCAGACATCCCCTGAGGGGTCCCGGATTGCAAGAGGGTGCAGGCCAGGCCAAGGGACCCCACTGGTGCATGAATTCGTGCACCAGGCCTCTAGTTACATATATAAATACACTGTCTTATATTGATGGCATTTTACTGTACCTACTGTTTCTCCAATTTGTCAAGGAGATACTTCCACGTCAATAAATATAAGTTTACATCCACATTTTTCTTCCTGCATTTAAAAAAAATCCTCACCTGAGGACATGCTGGCGGGGAAGGGAGTGAGAGAAAGAAACATCGATGTGAGAGAGAAACATTGACAGGTTGCTTTCTGTATGCTTCCTGACTGGCAATCAAACCCACAACTCAGGTATGTGTCCTGACTAGGAATAGAACCGGCAACCTTTTGGTACTCAGGACCACGCTCAACCAACTGAGCCACTCCAGCTGAGGTACATCAGTATTATAATAGGTGCATAGTGTTTCATTGTATGGGTGTACTATTTCTTATTCACATCTTTTCTAATGGTAGATAAATAACTTCATTTTTAACTTGCCCTTTTCTTTGGTGATTATAAACAGCAGTACAGAGATCATTCTGTTGTCTATTGTCATTTTAGTTCTGGTTTTTTTGTTTTTTTATTTGTTTGTTTTCTATTATAACAATGCTGCTGTGGATATCCTAGACCTATTTCCTGGTACATATGCTTAAGAGTTCCACACCCATTTAGGAGATGGCTGGCTGGGTTACAGAAAATGCATGTGTTCATTTCACAAGGTAGTGCCAAGTTGTTATCCATAGTAGTTATCCCAGTTTATCAGGAACTATCTTGGACTGGTATTTGTTAACTCCTTAACTTAATTTTCCCAATTCAAGTTTTACTTCTAGACAGCATTTCTGTCAGACAGCATCTCTGTTCATTTTTCCTGTGAAACACATTTTCAGAGCCCCATAGGTTCACTCTGGGACTAACATAACCTCCCCATGATACCATACCCCTCCAAACTTCCTCCAGCCACTTCTTCACAATGTTGCAATTAGGGACTTTACCAGATGTAATGACTTCATTTCATCCAATGTCCCTTTCTAATCTGCACAGCTGTTCTCAAAGTCTTTGCTCAAGTGTGCATGTTATTGGTCATGTCCAAGTTCAGCTGATCTCCATTGTTTCCAGTTCCTTGAGATTTTATCCAAACATAAGTTGTTCCTTCAAAATTCAAAACAATATTTATGACAATTATATTTATACCAAACTAACCGAGAGAAAGCATTTATGTTATCAAGTGGTAAACTCAAGAATTTTTTCATCAATTACCAATTGATATTCCAAACCCACAGCTATATTGATTGTTAATTATTGATTATTGGGTTCTTTTGACAGAGAGGAGCAATAATCTGTGCTGTGCTTTTTGTTGTGTTTACTGCAGACGCTGAAGTTTAAGAAGATCTCTTTGCTGGGGTGGAGTGATGGTGGTATAACAGCCCTCATTGCAGCTGCAAAATACCCATCTTACATCCATAAGATAGTGATTTGGGGGGCTAACGCCTATGTGACTGAGGAAGATGAGATGATTTATCAGGGTAGGTTCCATAGACGTCATGATAAGTAGCATCCTCCTCTCCCCTCTCCCCTTCAATTCTTATTTTGATATGTCCTGGCAAGCCATATCTCATCCTCTTCTAGTTCTCATTTCTAAGGTAGGAATAATAATTTCTCAGAAAAGTAATGCAATTTAGCCAGTCTTTGATTTAAACCTTTCTCTTTCCAGAAGTGGCATGTTTATGATTCAGGAAAGGGCAAAACTAGTTTTTACATTTTCTCCTACTTGTAGTGAACTTATTCATAACCTCGTTTAAAATAATGTGAGTGCAAAGGAAATATTGTATTCAAATATGAAACCTGATTTTTGATAAAGAATGCCTGTGCTATTCACATTTTTAATTTTATTTTTTAATATTTTATTAAATGTATTGGGGTGACATTGGTCAACATATAAATTTCAGGTGTGGATTTCTATATTATAAGATCAGTATTTTGCACCATGTACTTACCACCCAAGTCAAATCTTGTCCTGGCATCGTATATTAGGACCCCCTTCTCCCTCATCCCTCTTGCCTCTGGTAACCACCACACTGCTGTTTATTTTCATGAATTTCAGTTTTATATCCCACATATTACTGAAATCATATGGTTCTTAGCTTTTTCTGACTGACTTATTTCACTTAGCATAATATTCTCAAGGTCCATCCATGTTGTTGCAAATGGCGCAATTTCATCTCTTCTTAATGCCAAGTACTATTCCATTGTGTATGTGTACCACATATTCTTTGTCCAGTCCCCTGTTAGAGGGCACTTTGGTTGTTTTCATGGCTTGGCCACCATGAATAATGTGGCAGTGAATATAGGGATGCATATATCTTTGTGAATACACGATTTCAAGGTTTTCGGGGATATACCCAAGAGAGAGATTGTTGGATCATATGGTAGCTCTATTCTCAAATTTTTGAGGAATCGCCCGACTGCTTTCCATAGTGGTTGTACCAGTCTACATTCCCACCAGCAATGGATGAGGGTTCCCTTTTTTCCACAACCTCTCCAACACTTGTTATTGCTTATCTTGTTGATAATGGCCATTCTAACTGGTATAAGGTGGTATCTCATTGTAGTTTTGATTTGCATTTCCCTAATTGCTAGTGAGGTTGAACCTCTTCATATATCTTTTGGCTGCTCATTTGTCTTCTTGGGAGAGGTGTATTGTTAGGTCCTCTTCCCATTTTTTGATTGGGTTGTTTGTTTGGTGTTGAGTTTTATGAGTTCTTTATATATTTTAAAGAAAATTAAACCTTTGTCAGAGCAACTATTTTCAAATATCATCTCCCATCTGGTTGGCTGCCTCTTTGTTTTGTTGTCAGTGTCTTGCTGCTTTTATTTCCCTTGCCTTTAGAGTTAAGTTCTTAAAATGCTCTCTATGACCAAAGTCCATAAGTTTGGTACCTGTATTTTCTTCTATATAACTTATTGTTTTAGATCTTATATTTATGTCTTTGATCCATTTTGAATTAATTTTTGTACATGGGGACAAACTATAATCCAGTTTCATTCTTTTGCCTGTGGTTTTCAGTTTTCCAACCATTTATTAAAGAGATCATCTTTACTGCATTGTGTGTTTCTGGCTCCTTTATCAAAAATTATCTATCCATATACATCTGGTTTTATAGCTGAGCTCTCTATTCTGTTTCATTGATCTGTGTGTCTGTTTCTCTGCCAGTACCATGCTGTTTTGATTATTATAGCTCTGTAGTATAATTTGAAGTCTGGTAGCATGATACCTCAAGCTTCATTCTTTTTTTTTATCAGGATTGCCTTGGCTATTTGGGGTCTTTTGTGTTTCCACACAAGTCTGATGATTTCTTGTTCTATTTCTTTAAAAAATTACATTTAGAGGCAGAATCAATTGCCCTACTTTGTTGGAAGACCTCTTGCCCCACCTGTGGACAATTGCCTGAGGCTACTCGAGACTGAATCCAATTAGTCTGCAGGCAGAGGCAGGTCTCTGGAGGCTTTGAGTCTTTGCCTGATTAATTAGTCAGAAAAAGCATTTGACACTGTCCTGCACTAGATATTGGGAGGCATAGCAGATCTAGTTAATACATCGTCACAAACCCAAATAGGCAGGCAAAATGGGGAGACAAAAAACAACAATCTACAAATCAAAGAACAAGAGAATTTTCCAGAAGAAGAGGTAACTGAAATGGAATAAGAAATTTATCAGACATAGAATTCAGAATAAAGATGGCAAAGATGCTCAACAGCATGAGAAAATATATAGTAACTATGAAGAATGGCATAGCACTAATAAAGAACACAGTGGAAGGAATACATAGCAGATTAGGGGAAGCCGAAGGTCGGATCAGTGAATTCGAAGACAGGGTAGAAAAAAATCACTCAATCAAAGAACCAAAAAGAAAAAAACAATTTAAAAACAGGAGGGCACTTTAAGGGAGCTGTGGGACAACATAAAACGTAACAATACTATCTAATAAAGAGGGAATGTGCAAATTGACCATCACTCCATCACAAAAAATGGCGGCGCCCATAGCCACAAGATGGCAGTGCCCAGTCCCCTCAGCCTTGCTGGAGTCCCCCAATCCTTTCAGCCCCACTGGGGTGGGGAGGGGGGGCAGGCATGTGGTGCAGCCAGACCACCCTCAGGCAGGTCTGGCCACTCCTTGCACCTGCCACCAGAGTCCCACAGCCTTTCAGCCCAGCCGGGGCGGGGAGGGGCGGCAGGCGCATGGTGCGGCTGGACTCACCCTCAGCCCCCCAGCTGCCCAGGGCCAGCCCAAGGCACAGGAAAGCCTTGGATGGTGGATGCCCAGCCACCTAGGGCCAGCCAAGGCTTGTGCTGCTGGCAGTGGCAGCAGCAGAAGTGTGATGGGGGCATCGCCTTCCCCTGATCACTGGGTTGCCTCCCGCCCCTGAGGTCTCCCAGACTGTGAGAGGGGGAAGGCCGGTCTGAGGGACCCCTCCTCCAGTGCATGAATTTTCATGCACTGGGCCTCTAGTATTCACATAATAGGTGTCCCAGGACAAGAAAGTGAGCAAGGAATAGAGAACATGTTTGAATAAATAAAGGCAGAAAACTTCCCTAACCTGATGAAGGAAAAAGTCACACAAGTACAAGAAGCACAAAAAGTCCCAAGCAAGAACCCACACAGGCCCATGCTCAGACACATCATAGTTTAAATGCCAAAAATTAAAGACAAAGAGAGAATCTTAAAGGCAGCAAGAGAAAAGTAATTTGTTACCTACAAAGGAGCTCCAACAAGGCTGTGTGTTAGTACAACAGATACAAACTTGATGACCTCCATGGGGTCCCACTCTAAGCAACCCTCCTGGGGTTCAGTCACAGAGGGAAACAGTGGTTCTACTGCAATAGCTCTTGGTTTACAGATAATATGCTCTTTGACACAATTCCAAGGGCAATGGGAAGTGAGTTTTGGGATTCCAAGCAGCAGCAGGGCTCTATGATTCCATTTCTTTGTCTGAAACACCACTGCCAACAAGACAGTGGAGAGCCACACGGCAGAACCCAATGCTCTGATGTCTGTTCTCTCTCTTGCCTCTCACCCTGCTGGTCTACCCTCCCTCCCCCACAGCTCTCTGTTCCTCCTGGCTGGGTGTGAGCTCCCAGTTGCTGGCTGCGTCTTCGGGTCACCTGCGCTTTCCCTCTTCTTGTCTCCCTGTTTATTCCTGGTTGCTCACCTTTAGATGTTTTAATGCATGGGTCTCTCAGGTATGCATCTGTGTTGAGCAGGGATGTATTTGTTGAATTATAGTTGGTTAACTTGTTGAAATTTCATGGGGAGAGGACAAGGGGTTTTTCACACCGCCATTCCTCTCTATTGACATGTTTTAAGACAGTACAGCTGCGTTGCTTGGAGGTGGGATTGCCCTACAGGCTTATCTTTGATGTCTGTAGAGACATGAGAACATTTCCAGTTCACCATCTGTTTTTGTAAGACTCGGGCACCAATGGGGAGGCTATTGTAGTGAGTCTTAAAGACGAATATGGGGTGTTCCTCTTCATCCCCATTTCCTCCTCCACTTCCAGTATAGCTACCAGGACCTGGATTGGTGGCCATGTACACCTTGGTGACTGTTGTTATAACAAGGCACCCAGTCATGGAATTTTAGTTGGCAATTCAGGAGTTGCTTAGCCAGCAGGCTGCCCAAATTGAGACTGCCCTGAGGAGGAGAGAAGGGCGCATCAGTATCTGGGGGTCCCTGAAGCACAAAGTGAAATTGACCTGGGCTACCCTCCCCCCACCACATGCTGGCCTGGCGCACCAAGACCCTTCTCTTCAGGCCAGGAGCTTTTTGTCCTGAGTGTGTTTCTGTAGGTTCCCAGATGGCCTACCCCAGACAGGGCCAGGAAGATCAGAAGTTTCTCTCTTTTATCTACATATGTTTGGTTTTGCCTCTTGGCCTACAAAGCCTAAAATATTTACTCTCTGGTCCTTTACAGAAATAGCTTGCAGACCCATGTGCTAGAATATTACAAGTCTAGTCTTTTTCAGCTGTTCTGCAATTCACATGACTTAAGTAAGCTCTTTAATGGCAATGTTTTATTATAGAATCTTAGTTCTTTTTTGTTGTTGTTAATCATCACCCAAGGATATTTTTCCATTGATCTTTAGAGAGAGTAGAAGGGAGAGGGAATGAGAGAGAGAGAGAGAGAGAGAGAGAGAGAGAGAGAGAGAGACATCGATTGGTTGCCTCCTGCAGGTGCCCTGACCGGGGCCAGGGATTGAGCCTGCAATCCTTGACCGGAATTGAACCCAGAACCCTTCAGGCCAACACCCTGTCCACTGAGCCAAACTGGCTATGGCTGTAGAACCTTAGCTCTTGGCCGTCTTTCTCTTGGATAAAGAACTATGAAATTCTTAAATGATAAGTCTGATTTTGTTTCCAATCCCAGTCGGAACTCCTGCCTGTCCTTAGTGTATTGCCCCCTGGTTCCAAGGAGAGTGGCTCTTGTGTAAAGCCATTCCACTCTGTTGCTAGTCCTTTCCCTCCT